ATGACTGTTAAGTTTCTTCAGTTTAGATAGAATAAAATATTTATAGCTTTTTTATTTTCTCTACTTAGTTCACGTAAGCATCTTTTCCATTGAATCTTCAGCTACTAGTCCCTCATATCAAAATCTTTGCTTTAAACCTTCGCTTCCTGCCTTCAAGTTTATCTCAGAAGAAGTGAACTGTGTATTCAATATTCTAGAATCTGATTTCCCTTTATTGTTACAGAGATATAGTTGCTTTCAAACTTTGTTCATAAGAACCGTGTTTTCAGAGGGTTTCGGTTCTCGTATCCTTCCAGATAGAGTTATCTAAGGCATTTCCACTTGCTTGAATATAATAATAATCCATAATCCAGAATCTAATACATTTATATTTTAGAAATTGTATTATAGTAATGTGGTGTACGATTAAAACAAGATTAGTTAATGGTTCATTGACTATTTATTTGCAGATCTTAAGGCTGGCTATTCAACCCTAAAACATTTGCAGAATATAAATTATGGGAGCTTGTATAATAATTGATTTTTTTTGTTGAACTGGCCCTAGTTGGCATTCCAGATTACCAATTTGTGTAATTAATATTGCTGACTGAAGTTCATAGCAAAATTCACTTGGGAGTATTACGATACTGTTCTCAATTTTCATTCTAGTAAAATTGTTGGTACTTTACTTAATGACAGCTGTAAACATCTGTTTATACAGATGAGAAAACTGTTTGCAATACTGTTATCCCAATAATTCTTTTAGCATGGCTAAACTGTTCACAGTTCATATTGTGTTAAAATTTAAATTAGCGTTGAAGTGTTTTGTGTGACCCCTTCCTAACCAGTGCCTTCCTGCACCTAATGTACTCACTGAAAGTGTTAACACTTCCATGTTTTTTCTTTCCTGTGAATGCACTACTGGGAGAATGACGCACTCATTGTAGATCTCCACACCTGCATTGCTCAAGAATAGTAGCAAAGATTGTGAATTAACATCCGTCTGACCTTGACCTTTTTGGTGTGGGAAGGAAATGATAATTGTCTGCCTTGAATTATGTCACTTGGCATTCTACAATTCATATAATCATTGTAGAGGTTCAGACGCTTTAAAACAATTTTCTACCTGCAATTTTACATTTATAAAATGATATTCGTTACACTGAATAATTTTTTAAAAAACCTCATGGATGAATATTCTGTAAAACCATTCATATTAGTGTAGTTTTGGAATACACTGTACAATTGGCATTCAGTTGTGTCAAATTTGAAAATTGAGTCCATGTACTGTAGCCAAAAACTGACTAAATTAGTTTGAAAAATAGGACCTGAAGAGGTCTGTAACACTCCTAAAGAATTCTGACAAAGATGGAGGAAATATTTTCTGCGGAGAGGGATAAAGGGAATTACAGTATCTGAGAATTGTAGCCACTATATCATGTATATAAAATATGGGAGCTTGTATAATAATTAATTTTTTTTGTTGAATTGGCCCTAGTCGGCATTCCAGATTACTAATTTGTGTAATTAATGTTGCTGACTGAGGTTCCGAAGGTGCACATTAAGACAAGGCAGCTTCTGGAGTTGTAATAGTTTCTTTGGGTCTCCAGTTTCCTGAGGGCTCCAAAAAGTATGCTGAGTATTTATGACCCGGGAATCAAGATTGCAACTTGTTTAGACCTGCCAGGATAACAAATGCTTCAAAATAATATTTCTCAGTGAAAATGTTGCTCCTGTTGTAAGCTTATGCTGTTAAATGGGATACCATATCTTGCAGACTTTACAAGCAGTACATTGCCACTGAATTGCCCATTATCTTAAATGTAACAAAGGAAGAATTTGCCTCTGTTACCCTTGATTGTGTTTTATGCTTTGGAATTGCTGGCTAGAGGCAGCCAGAACAAACATTTTGTGTGGAACTTCTCATTCTCCTTTGAGGCTCCAATTTCTAATCATGATGTCAGGAATGTATCATGATGTCGACTTGTTTTGTCACAAATCAAGTAAAATGATTATAAAAGCTTTAAAAAGGCAACTGCAGAATCCTGTTATTGTGTTGCAAATTAAATTTTTGTTTAATTTAAGGTTGCAAGGCAATACTCTTTAATATTGCAGGTCAGTAGCGCTGACCCAATTTGAAACATTTATACTTCTGATTTAACAAGTTGTGAACTAAAACAATCAAGATTTCCTGCCCCAGAAATCAACGTAACTGAGGTAATTACTGTTGGGATATGAAAAAACAATTATATCATTGCAGCGAAGGATAAAAATGTTCCATTTGCTACATCGAACACAAGTCTAGTGTTGCCAAATACACTTGGAAACCATGGTACCAAACAGTTAATGTACTTACATTATCACTGTACCTTGGGACGTCCTCCCGACGTGAAAGGCACTATACAAATGTAATCTTGTTGTTGTATTTGCGATTTATAAAGCTGTGGCCCTAAAGTACTTTTCCTTTATCAAATACCTTCTTCACATAAACTGAAGTTTAGATACAAGTCTGGATGTAGATATTCTCTTGGATGTCATTTGGTTGACTCAATTAGCTAAGCTAAAGGATTCAGTCAACATGTAACTGGACTTCGTGAGGGTTGTAATTTTTATTTGCTGTAGTTTGTTTTTGAAATATTTTAGAGTTCTTGTTGGATTCACTTCAGTCCAATAAAGGAAAATTTAATTGTTTGAGACGCCTCAAATACGTGACAATGCACTATATCTAATGTAAGGATTCTTATTATTTGTTTCAGCAATGAAAATTCTTATCTATAGTGTTTTGCAGATTTTAGTTTTTCTCCCTCTTTCCATCATATTATCCTATATGTTTTCAAAGAGGTACTGTAGTTTTTGCATTGTTGTCACTAGGTGTCATGTATAAAGGGAACTAGAGCTATCTAGCGTTGGTACAAGTGTACTGCATCTTAGGTCAGTATCTATAGTACTTTCAGTAAAGTTTTGTTTTTATATACAAAGGTATATTTCATTTGAAATTCATGAATTAAATAGATTCTTTTTGCAATTTACAGATACAAAAGAAGTTATGAAGGTTTTGGAAGTGTACTGTGTACAATTCTAATTTAGGTTACCCATGTTGCCCATAATGAAAGGCAAATTACTCCCATGGCTCTGAACGTGTATTTTTTTAGGGAGCACTAATTTTAACACAATTTAGAAATTGTTTCATATTTAAGGTAATTGGTGTACTTTTATACGTAAAGGATTCCATTTTCAATTATTGTACTGAGTTGCTAATAGCTAGTACTGTAGAACATTTTGTTGCAGTTCACAATCAATCTACTAAAGTCTGTCTTGAGCAAATTGGTTATGATGCTTGTCTTCACCATCCGGTCAACAGTAGGTTTCAGTTTCAAGAGCTATTGTCAAATATCATGGATTATTTCCAAGTGGTTGATATCCATGACACCTATTATTGAAATGATAATGATTCTGTACAATGTTCTGAAGCGTGTAGCTTACTCTTAACGTAGCAGTGCATATTATGATTCATTGAATTCACCGGAATGTTATCACGAGAAATTTCATAACACAAGAATGTTTATGCTTGATTTTTTACAAGTGCAGAGTGAAATTGAGCTCCAGGTTAGTGGAGGACCTAGATTTAGATAGGGAGAATTATTGAACATTCCTGGATAATACACCTGCCAAGCAGTGTTCTCTCTTGACAAATAATGATCAAGGAGAAGCTATTAAATTATGTTACTCGTATACCCTCCTCTATATTGTAACAGACCTGCTCAATCTTGTGGTTCTACAGCTGCTCTGATATCTACCAACACGACTGAAACATCAAAGTATTGCTAATTTCACACGAGCATGAGTAAAAATCCTTCCTGGTTATTGGCTAAATCATAAGAATAAAATTAGAGTTTTTCCTAACTTATTTTTAAAGAGGACTCTTGTATGTGTCCTATGAGTGCCTTAAGAAAACTCTGCTTCCCATGTTTAATATTCCAAATCAAGAGGAGTTGGATTTGGAGAAATTGTAGAACTGGCTGAATGATCCTCTCCAGTTCCTGTCTTGTGTTTTTAACTCCCTCTAGTGACAAAGCTAGTCGTGAACAATTTTAGTTTAGTCTCCTGGGTCTAGCTAATTTGAAATTTTTCTAGGGTCTTTGACTTATTGAATATTCTCTCCCTTCTTCCATCCAAAAGGCAATTGTATTGATTTTACATTTTATTCAACGAGACAGGAAGACCCAATCTGTCCTTCACAAAAGTGTTGACTATCGGATTGGATAGTATAGCTTTGGAAAGGAACCCAGCCTTTTTTCTTCCATATTTGAAGCGAATTCCAAAACTGTCCAAGATCAAAACATTCTGCAGAGATTTTTTTCCCTTTAATCTAGCTCTCACTTGCTTTCTCTCTATCACTTGTGTGCACTTGGTTTCTCTTTTGATCTTTGTCTTGCTCTCACTCACTCACTCATTCACTCACTCACTGGCTCACTCAAAAAAATTCTTTATTGATATCGCACACTTGAGAGCATCTTGATGTCTCACCCTCACTTTTTCTTTATCCTCCTGCAGGCCAAAGACACAACATTAAAATTATGATTCGGTCTCAAATCTGTTTGGAGTGTCAGTGTGCATGTATTCCCTCAAATCCAATGTTCTTTATAAACTAGTTTCTGTGTTTGAAAGTAGGTTTTGGGTTTTCTAAGTGTAGAACATAATAAAATACGTTTTTCACAATTCTTTGACCTAAGTTTGTGATTTTTTAATTATTTCATGGAATCTACTCAACTTATTTGTACGGTAATGACTTTAGTCAGGAGGTTCATGGTAATGCTTTTAAAAGTCCCTTCATGCACACTTTGAAGTCTGTGCATGAATAGTTTCAAATTGCTTTCTTCTGAGCATTATGGAGAGATGAAGGAGGGCAAGAATGTCAACTGAAAAAGGTTTTGATGAGGTATTTAGATGTTGATTAATGAATGATAAGTAGACTGAAGAACAATAACATACTAAATAAACATAGCTCCTTTGTGAAGATAAATCTAACCATGGAAAATACCAATAAAAATAAGACAGTTTAAAAAAAAATGTAGAGTTGAACTGAACAGGAGAAATGCAAAATGCTGAGGTCATTTTTAAAAAAAGACATTTAAGGCTAGACAGGCATGTGACTTGCAGAGGAACCCATCTCTGTTACATGCTTTATTTAAAGTTCCGTTCTGAACTTTTCTTGCAATACAGTACTCGGCAATCTGCTGTAGTAGGATGAAATTGAGAGATCATGAAGAAATGCAGAAAACCGAATTGTGAAAAAGAGTAAGTAAAAAAATGAAGATGTGATTAGATAATTTTAAATGAAAATCACCACTTTTTCAAAGTGCTTGGTAGTTTCTAAATCAATATGAATTTATGTAATAATAAAAGAATAGTGGTGAACAACTGTAAGACACATTCAAAAAAGCTTATTTGTTTCTTGTTATTCTTAAACCTCACACAAACTAGTCAAGAAGGCAAGAGCACAACTGCATTTCTGCTGTGAACTTTTTCCAGAAACTGGTTGAGAGTGCTCTTCCTGAACTTTCTGTTTTCCCTGCAGGACAGGTAAAAATATCCACAAATTCTGCATAGTTGCAATCAAACAACGAATACAGTATATTCTGTGAAGCGCTTTGGGATGTCTAGAAAACGTGAAAAGCGCTATATCAAATGCAAGGATTATTATTATTATTAAATCTGTTTTGTGAATGTTGCAAATGAGATCCCAATATGTGCACCTTTGTGATTCTTGTCCTTAAACAGATATTACAAAAAGTTCAGAAAAGTGAAACAAGGCTCATTTCATGTCCTTCCAGTGAAAAAAACAACCAGATCAGAACTTCTTTTCATTAAAAGAATGAAAGGGCAAAAGATCCAAAATGTTTTAAAAAATGAGACATAATTGAGATAAATGTGAGTAGGACTACAATGGTAGGTTTAAAACTAACATGATTGTAGCATGGCTAGATATTAGAAGCAGATGCATGCTACTGTAGTTGAGCACTCAAATTGCAGATTATAAGGATTGGTGCTTGGAAATTTTGAAAAGAAAGAGTTCATTGCGGCAGCTCAATGAGGGAGGGGGAACCATGTTCTTATTAAAACACGTAATTCTCTGCACCAGAACAAATGTGGAATCCACCTGCTTGTAACTTGCTCAGTTTAAAGTTACTCTGTGGGCAGCTTGATTTACTTGGCAGTGATATAATCACTGAACAATTTGAATAATGCATAAGTGGAGATATCCAAGATTCACAGCCAAATATCCAGATTATAAATGTCTTTATTTCTTCGCAAGCCAAATCCAAATCTTATAAGAATAAACTATTATCTCCAGCAAACATAATATATTTATGCTGCAGTCTGGTCTAGTGTTCATATAAATCCACGGCACACAAGAAGGCAACTTTTATCATGTTTGTGCCCAAATTTGTTACCTTGTCATAAGCAAAGACATTGAGTTCAGTGATGTATCACAACTGCACTGGTGAATCTTCTTAGAATGAAATATCTTGCATACAGATCGTAAGTTTCTTTCTTTAATTATTGATTCTGGAGTAGTAATAATAAGTTTGATGAATATAGTAAATAGATCTGCCCAAATAGTTTCACTGCTTTGAAAGCTACACAACATCATATTTTGGTGCTTATGATCAATGCAGACTACAGGATTGAAAGTGTCAACAGAGTTGATATCTACTGGCCAATTAATTGAATAAGTGCAAGAGTGAGTTTCCGAATCCAATATTTCATAGAAGATTGGCTAGAAAGTCAATATATATTGCTTCTAATCTTGGTCTTACAGTTGATCCAAGGGGAAAGTATACTGGTACAAGATGGATTACCTGCAGAACTTGTGGAAGGCCAGATGGTGTGTTTCTTTATTTGTAATGGTCTTAAAACTACTTTCCATCTGGATCTAATCAAACAACACAGCCTGGAAAAGAAAACATTCTTGATATTGTCCTGATATAGGCTTTTTTGATGTACCATGAAATTAAAATGTCACTTTTGTACTGTATTGTAACTAGGAAAGAAACATTAACTTTGTCTTGTGTATTGTATTAGTAATACTGTCATACTATTCTGGCATATTACATGTAATGTCTACCTTCATTACTGCTTCTACAATCTCCACAACTACAAAGTGTGTAAATGCTTTAACCATTAAGAAATGCATAATCCTTGAGTTGGAGTGAATCCAAGAATATAATATGATCAAACTTGAAGTGACTTGTCTTCACCTGAATCTATTGTTAACCTATGTAAACACTTCAATCCAATGGTTATACTCATACAAATTATCTCCAAATGTAAACATATGTAATTGGATAGGATTTACAATCCTACTTAAACTACTCTATTGTGTTTCTTTTAGGGTCATGTGAGCTATCAAACCATCTTGCCCGGAGTTTCATTTTTGTATGGTAGTATAGCATATTTACATTTCTAATACTGTGGGGAAAGGTTAAACGTAGAAAAGTGCAAGAAATAATGCAATTAAATGGTTCATTTGTCTCTTATTTTTCATTTGCATCTCGAAGGCTAGTAGAATAACTGAAATAATTAGGATTGTTGAGCAACTAGCCTACAGCGTATACCCGTGTCTGTCATTGGGTTAATATAAACATAAATTCTATATGGTTTTGTTCTTTACTTGCAGATTGACGTACCAAGATACTGTACCTCCAGACTTTACCCACTGTGTAATTTAAATTCATCAGAAACTTCAAAACCAGACTGAACTAGTTTTTGAGAAACTAATGAGAAATATAAATTCATAGATGTCTTTGATCCAGAATTTAATATTCATGTAAACATAAACGTGGAGATTTATGGTTATCCTGCACCACTACATTCTTTCTTGGATTATTTGCAAGCTCTCTCTTCTCAAACAGTGCAATAATACTTTCTTCAAAAGTAGTTCATTTAACAGGAAAAATACTGTACTTTAAAGTAGGTTTAAAGTTTGAGTGTTGCACGAAGAATAGTATGCTGAAGAATTTGAAAAAAAGGCTGGATTCACAGAATTCTGTAGAATGGACAGAAAATAAAAACAATTTTATAACTTGAATTAGAAAAAAATGGGTTCTAACCACTTCCCCACGTATAGTTTGTGGTTGCATTGCATGTAATTTTACCAAGCTGTAAACAGAAATGTGAAATAAATGTATTGAACAACATGGTGTTGAGAGCAGACTATTATTATTTTTCCAAGAACTTATACCCACATAGATTACAGTGCTGCTGCCAAAGGCAGTTTCAACTTCAGTGGCAGCATCGTAATATGAAGAAAGCAGTACTGCTTATGAAAGAGTGAATTTTTTTAAGGACTTTTCTGCATTTGATGGTGCTGACAGTGGCAAATATAGCTGGTTGTAGCTGGTGACTCCTGTTTCTACATGACATGGTCCTTGTTTACCTACAAATTAGTCATTATACTTTACAATGTATCATGTGGAGCACTTTGAGACTTTCCTCCTGACTTGAAAGGCATTATATCAAATATAACTATTATTGTTACTGATTGGAAAATATCACTGTTCAATTCCTGTTCTGTGTTGAGTTAATCAATCTCAGGTCATCTACCAATGGGCACAACATTTGGCTTCTATATTCTCAGGCTAGGGAGGAGGTGGCAGAAAATAACGATAACACTGTCCACTGACTATGTTAGAAGTGGTTTTGTGTGAACGTCAGTCAAAAATTTACCTCAGCTTTTGCGGTCTCCTTGGTCAAAATAGCCTTTAACACATTATGAATAGGTACTTGGAAGGCCACTGCCATCCACAGAGCTATTTCCCAGCCCAAATTACTGCATTCAGATGAAGAGGGATAAGTGGGGGGGGATTGAAAAGTTGGCACGTGTTGAGTTGAAGAGAATGATTGTTTACTATAATACAGATTTTTATTTTACTTGGTAAATTAACACCTTGTAAAATTCAATTCTACTGTAGTTTATTTTATCTTTGATGGACATTCCTATTTATGAACTCAGATTCTGCTGGAGCAGTAATTGGATTATAACTGATTAATTTAACCTTCCTGTGCTGTAGAGTTGAGCTGCTTTTTGCTATTTGGTTTCCCTAGCCTCATTCAACGTCCACCTCAAGACCTTCCTCTTTGCGCTTTCAGTCATCTTTCCCTCATCCCCCTACCCCTCACCTCCATCCCCTTCCCAGCTCCCACCTCCAGTCCAGCTCAGATGCAAACCCTGAACCGTTCATTGCCTTTGGACATCCTCCTAATGTGAAGAGTGCTTTATAAATATCAATTTGTACTGTATTATAGGTTATTTTTTAGTTAAGACAATAGGGCTTTGCATCTTTTTTTCAAAGGAGACATTTGTTTCTTATAGCCTGGGTTTTTTTCTGTGCTGAAAGATGGAACTGGATATATGACTATCCATGCATGTGTGCAACACAATGGGATGAGCATTGTGAACAATACAAAGAGACATGAGTCATCTGCATCAGGCTGCCTGGCTCCATTTAACTGTTTCCTGCTTTCTGTGTGAGTGTTGTGTTATTAGAGGAAATCCTGCAGATTAGTGGTGTGAATCACTGCTGATCCAATCCGTCTAGTTAGAATTTCTAATCCATGCACAGTATTTATGATCCTTTAATCTTAAAATAGTAAAGCCATGGGTTTTGTCATCTGTTTCGATCATCTGAGCAAAAGAGAAATAATTGGGCTATCTGTGATTGAAATTTGAAAAACATATTTTGTGTTAATTTGCTTTTTGTTTAAGTAACTTTAATGTGTAGTCACAAATATGTTTGAATCAATTTTTACACTGTTCTAGCAGTAAGAATGCATTGTACCTTTTCTTGTGTACTTGTATTTCCTGCAATAGGTTGGTGGGCTGATATCTGCTGCTACTTCACTTAAAAACAGACTTTAAATTAAAAAAAGTCAGAATATGTTGAGCAATTCCAATTGATGTGAAAAAGTAAATGGCAAATGTAAGCTACATTGTTTCTGAGTAACTTAATTGCCCATGCAATATTTTCCTCTTCCTTGCGCTTAGCTCTGTGCACATCTTAAAATAGGTTATTTTTTTAAAAATGCAGTGGAAACAGAAAATATTCGGTGAAGTGAGCTTTATCTGTACCAAGTAAATCTAACTGGAATGTTTTGCTAAGTTTCAGAGCGAGATGGTTAACAGGATTTTAGTAAAATGTGAATTGTGCAATTTCTTATTTACTGAGAGTATATTTTGATTCCACAGATTGAAATTTTTCATTGTGAACGTTGTGCATTCCAAAGAATTCCAGACT